TTGGCAGCGTAGGATCGTCTGCAGTTTAAACACTATTACTTTTCAAACAGGGTGGTTGGCTTTTGGAATGAGCTGCCTTCAAGGGTGGTGGAGGCAGAAAATTTTACTGAGTTCAAGAAAAAATTCGATGAATACACGAGTAGTAAGAGGTGGTTATAGTTGGGAGCTGGAAGAGACATCCTTGGTGGGCTAATAATCTCCTTTTTATCCTTTTAAAATTTTATGAAATTTATGAGATATTATTATTCCTTGGTTTTTCAAGTTCTAATGTCGTGCTGCGTTATAGCCTACATAGTGCATAATTCTTCTCGTGTTTCATGGCATCCGCACGCTGTACTGACGTCACGATAGTACAAATTGCAACGATAAGCGTCCCTTCTGTGACGTAAGTTTAGTGTCTACTAACAGACAACACATTACTGTAAAGTGGTGTGGGTGGTCTTCGATCCCCCTTTCGGGGAAATAATCTATATGCTTTTCTGCACCTCGTTATTTATCTGTCTGTTATGTAATTATATGACTATGAATTATGTTATATGATTATGAATTATGTTATATGATCATGAATTATGTTATATGATTATGAATTATGTTATATGATCATGAATTATGTTATATGATCATGAATTATGTTATATGATTATGAATTATGTTATATGATCATGAATTATGTTATATGATCATGAATTATGTTATATGATCATGAATTATTTTCTATGATTATGAATTATGTTATATGATCATGAATTAGATTATATGATTATATCTGTAATTGTTTTTCATCCAATTATTATGTGGTTATCTTCTTCAAATAAAGCTGAATTTGAATTTCGTATCAAATATGTATATACGATCATAATTTGTTCTGTCAACCACTTCTGCTAATACTGTAATGTGGTTAATAACTGTCAATTTTATTATAAAAGTTGTAAAAATGTTAGGTTTATAGTTTTTCCTCCAAAATATACGTTAATAGGTTCTACTCCATCCTCAGTTACATAATATTTCACATACCCATGCCATTTTTGAGACTGGATGTTAAAGTGCTTTCAAACCACAAGTTAACGTGCTGGGCTGCGAACCGAAAAGTAAATGGTTCAAGCCCATGATTATGTATCTGAACATGCTCCGCACTTTCAGCTGTGGACGCGTTGTAAAGGTGACAATCAGCCATTGGACTGCGTTTATAGTAGGCGTGTGGGGGTGTGTGCTGTTGACTGGTTACCCTCCCTCTAGCCAATAGTTCTAAATTATGGATGGCTATGCCTGAATCTTGAGGCTTCTGGCTGGCCATTCAGCCTGTGTGTCGTATAAAGTACTGTTCAGGTTGAAAATAACATAATATCAACCATAAGTGAAATCAAAGTGACAAACATGGTGACTATAGGTAATCACAAAATTGTAAATTTTGTAAATCTAAAAAAAGGAAAAAACGAAATAAATATTTAAAAAATATAATATAGCAACAGTTAGTATTGCTACCAACAAATATGTATATTGTAGCCATTAGCAACAGTTAGTATTACTGTTACTACCAACAAATATGTATATTGTAGCCATTAGCAACAGTTAGTATTACTATTACTACCAACAAATATGTATATTGTAGCCATTAGCAACAGTTAGTATTACTATTACTATCAACAAATATGTATATTGTAGCCATTAGCAACAGTTAGTATTACTATTACTACCAACAAATATGTATATTGTAGCCATTAGCAACAGTTAGTATTACTATTACTACCAACAAATATGTATATTGTAGCCATTAGCAACAGTTAGTTTTACTAATACTATCAACAAATGTGTATATTGTATCCATTAGCAACAGTTAGTATTACTATTACTATCAACAAATATGTATATTGTAGCCATTATTATCAGCACTTTACAGGAGCTTCCATATTTGTCATCCGTCAAATATTCGGTTTTCCATCACACACACACAACCCTAATAACATTACTCGTGGCTGTTTTAGCATGAAACGTTTATACTGTTTCGAAATGTTTAATTTTTATTAAAACATTAATTATTATGCCTATGTAATCTTAATGTTTTGGGATGACTTTACTCTTAATACTCAGGATACTGTTGATAATATGTCTCTTCTTGAGAATGTATTTATCGGGCGCCGCCTCCGTATTAGTGTCTAATGTTGTGAGAGCCTTGAGCCTGGTTTGTTCTCACCATTCATGTGGTGAGCTTGACACCAACTCTCACTTCATGCTGGATCGTCAAGTGAAGTGTCTTGGCTTCATATCTAGTATTTCGTGTCAAAAGTTATTTAAGCGTATCAATTGCAGTTAGGGTAATTATTGAAAGTTTATAATGAGAAGGCACGTTACAGAAGAACTTTAGACAAGGCAGGTTGTAGTTAGGTACGTATGCTCTAACGTTGTTTTGTCTTTTCGTTTCTTATCATCAAGGCCAGGGGAACCTTAAAGTATTGCAACCAGAAAATTATAGTTTGAAATATTTACGCACTATGTCCCCCGCTAGTTCACTGGTAAGTTTACAGGACTTACAACGTAAAAATCCGAGGTTCGATTTCCAGCAGACGACACAGCAGATAACCCAATGTGGCCCTGCTCTAAAACAAATACCCTTACGCAGTACAGTGTTTTGGAAAACTTAAGATGAGGTAAGATTCCTAACAATGTTGTAATTTTTTAGTGCAAAGCAACACAGAGAGCTATCAGCACTATATCCACCACTAGAAATCGAACCTCGAATTAAATAAAGCCTTGTAAGTCTGTAACCTTACCGCTGAACCACGAGGGACTTGTAACAATGGGTATTTATTTTGTATTGAGTGCGAGTATAAGCAAACTTCGCACATTTTTGCACTGAGTAAACAAACTTTAATCACATCCTGACAAGGCTTAGCGAAAGTAATCTCAACACATTAAATCCTAGATGGCGTTCGAGACTTCGCACATTTTTACACTGAGTAAACAAACTTTAATCACATCCTGACAAGGCTTAGCGAAAGTAACCTCAACACATTAAATCCTAGATGGCGTTCGAGACCTCGCACATTTTTACACTGAGTAAACAAACTTTAATCACATCTTGACAAGGCTTAGCGAAAGTAACCTCAACACATTAAATCCTAGATGGCGTTCGAGACTTCGCACATTTTTACACTGAGTAAACAAACTTTAATCACATCCTGACAAGGCTTAGCGAAAGTAACCTCAACACATTAAATCCTAGATGGCGATCGAGACTTCGCACATTTTTACACTGAGTAAACAAACTTTAATCACATCCTG